GGGACAAAGAGCACCCAAAACACCTCCTGAGCGGGACAAAGAGCACCCAAAACACCTCCTGAGCGGGACAAAGAGCACCCAAAACACCTCCTGAGCGGGACAAAGAGCACCACAACACCTCCTGAGCGGGACAAAGAGCACCCAAAACACCTCCTGAGCGGGACAAAGAGCACCAAAACACCTCCACGAGCAGATGAACACCAGTGAACCCGTGATGTCAGCAAGCAGAGGGTGAGCTCACAGTGCTGCAGTGCAGGGGTCAGTGCCCCCATCCCCACGTCACTGCTCCCATGCAGGATTAGTCACCCCAGCTGGCAGGAGCACAGGGAAGAGATTTCCCTAAACACCAGACATGCTATAGAATAAATGACTCACCGTCTGGTTTAAGGCAAGCCTCGAATCTAATTTGCAGTCATTACAGCCAGGAGAAGGTTAATGGCTCTGCTCTGGGTAACTTGAAACTCTGAGGAGCCACCTACAGCTCCCAGTCCTGCCCTGACTTCGGGAGGTCCCGTTTTTGGGGGCAGAAAACGCCCCGAGGCCCCACAATTTGCTTTTGTTCCCTGCCCGTGCTGGAAAGGTTGAGCGGCTCGATGGCATCAGCACATTCCCGAGGAGGGGAACGCATTCCCGGCGCTCCAGATCCGCTCCCTGCCCCTGCGGCTGTGGAAGAAAAGGTTGAGATTTCAGCTCCTTTGCTGCCACATCCCCTTCTCCCTCCCTGGTCCTCAGCACCGAGGTCACACGAGGACCTGCCACAGCTCCTCAAGCAGCAGCTGAAGGTGCTCCAGGGTGTTCCAGCCCCTGTTCACTGATCATTTTTCACGGTGACAACACACGCGGTGCCCGAGGCTCAGTGAGCACCCTCTGCCCTGGGCCAGCCCAGAGCACCCCCAGGACCAGCAGTGCCATTTGCTGGCCTGGATTCCAGCCATGGGATGACACCTCAGAGCCATCCACAGTGCCTGTTTGTTCTTCTGCTCCCTGGAGTTGTGTGTTTGCTGAAGTCGAGGCTCCTGGTGCTGGGGATGAAGCTTTTCTTTGGGTTTTCCCCTAAAAAACCCAGGTGAGCCTTGGCAGAGGCCACAGGCACAGGCCCACAGCCCCTTCCCCTGCTGCTCAGGGGCTCCCAAGGGCCATAACTTCACCCCCACTCGTTATTTATTTAATAACATTTAATAATATGATCATTATTTCATTGCAAATCCACCGAAATGCCACTTTAATTCACGAGCACGCTGCGGAGAGTTACTGATAGCTCCCCGCCCCCATATTTTATATTTGCCTGGTAAAATGTATCAAATAGCTCCTTTCACCCCAAAGTGGCACCTGGAGGCTCCAAACTGGCCCCAGGGGGGCTGTTCCCACCCCAGGCTGCAGGAGCAGGACCCCAGGAATGTGGTTTAACCAGGGAATGTCTCCACTTGCAGGGTGAGGAGCTCTGGGAGGGCCACAGGGGGTTCAAGGCTGGTTTGGGGGGAGCTTTTTTCAGCCCCTCTCCTCATTCCCATGGGATTCTGGTGCTGTTATCACCTCCTGGACCAGGGGAAGTGGCCAGGGCACAGCAGGGGTGTCCCTGTGCTGCACAAAGGGGATTCACCCCCTTTCCCAGCCTTTCTACAAATTAAACACAGCCAATTTCTTACCAACCTCAACAGCAAATTGCAAGAGGAAAAGATCTGGGAGAACTCCACAGAATTTGTGCCATGGTGTGTGTAAATAACAGGGAAGACCTGGAGCTGGCAGGATTAGTCCTTCTGTGAGGTGTGTGGGTCTGTGGTCTGAAAAAGCCATTTCCCCACTTGGCAGCTGCAGGGAAACTTCCTTGTCCACAGATCCTTTAGAAAATTGGATGAGATCTTTGCTCTCCTCCTCAAGATTGCTTCTCGTCCCTAATCCTCCAAGCTAATTTAGGGAGGATGAAAAAAACAAAAGAGACACTTGGTAGGACATCACTCCTTGACAGAGAACAAGGACCACGGCAAGGCTCTTGTGGCAGGAGTTTGGTCCCCAGCACCCCCTCACTGGGGCTCAGCACAATCCAAGGACATTCAAGGGTCTCCTGGGAAGAAGAAAGAGCTGAACAGGCCTCAGGAACATATAAAAAAAATTCTGTTTGAGCTTAAAAACTGGCAGCTGCTGCTGCTGCAGCCCAGGGACTGCAGCTCCAGCCTCTCCGTGGCTTTTGCAGGAAAGCTTAGTTAAAATGAGAGCCAAAAGAGATGGAGAATCCCTGGGAAGGAACAAAGGTTAATAAATCTTTTGTTCTAAGAAGGGAGTTTGGTAGGAAGAAATGCAATGATCTGAGAAGTACTAATGACTGGCTTTTCAGGCAGTAATCCCTCCCCGAGGAGAGGCAGCGCCGCTGCGTGAGGATTAGGCAAGGAAATGCCACCCTGACAACTTCAGACTACTCAAGAGCCAAGTTACCCTTATTTCTCTCTGCAGCTCAGCCATGAGAACCAGTCCAAGAGACAAGGAAGGAGCTCAGTCTCCTTTCTGAGCTCTTTTTCCCTTCCTGCAGCAGCCCCCGAGGCAGGTCCTGCCTGGAGGGTTCAGCACCACCAGCCCGATCCACCAACATCCCACAAGAACAGTCTGTGCAGAGCTTTAAGGAGCTCCCAGTCTGGGTGGAAACACCCATTTCTAGAGCTCCCAGTCTGTGTGGAAATAGCCATAAATACCCAGCAAACAGCACAGCTCAGCCAGGCTCAGTTTGGTGTCGTCACCCACCCCCTCCCCTGCTGGCCCCGCAAGGATCGCACGCGGGGGCCGCGCTCGTGACGAGTGCTCCGCGAAGCGAGGAGGTGTCAAGTCCCACGTCCTCGGCGTGGTGGGGAGCCTGCCAGCTCTATTTCTGCACCACAGAGCAGCCCACCTTGTCTAGGAACAGGGCTCTCCCGGGGATCCCCCGGGATCTGCCGCGGGGGACGAGGCTCAGGAACGCACCGCGATTCCCGCGAGCGGTTGCACAGCAGGGTCGGGTCATAACAGAGCCAGACAGAAGAACTTGCACCAGTGAAGAGCTTTTTGGAAGGGAACCTGGCCGTGGCCACCTGCCAAAGTTGTTTTCCAGGGATCAAATGGTGCTGAAGGGAAACATCTGACCAAGTCCAGCCCACGAGTGGAAATACTTCCGATTCACCGCTTTAGCAACTGGAGAGCTGTGGGTCATCTTACTGGAGCTGGACATCATCCTGCTGACACCCAAATCCAACTGGGATCCTCCTGCACGTGTCAGCTCAGCCCAGGTTCTTGTTTTAGAGGGGTAAACCTCTGGGCCTTCCTCCTGCTCGGAGGTTTCAACCACCACAGGGCCAAAGCTGGCAAGAAACGCCTCATGTGAACAACAAAAGTGGCAGTTCTGGTCTGAAGGAAAAGGTAAAACTGGGAAGCAGTAAGAGAAAAAGAAACCTTGGAAAAGTTAGTGGCTTTAGACAGAATGACCAGCTTTCTTTTTTAACATTAAAAGAGAAAATGTAGATAAATCAAGACATTTCCATCTTTCATCCCCTCGGAGTGAAACAAAGGAGGAAATCAATTCCACTGTGCTGGTGGAATTAAAGAAGGGCAGTGATTAACAGTGTTCAATTGAAAATGGGGTTTATCTCCTTCCTGGAGGAGCCTAAGGATGTTTTCAGAGTGCATTTAACAGTATCTCCCTAATCCACCCCATTTGTGACCACACTTGGGTGTGACACAGGAGTGATGTAAAACCAAGGCCGTGCACATTAAATGGGCCAAAAATTCATTGCAAACTCTGGGGGGGTGCAGGGAGGGGCTCTCAAAAGTCAAACTGAGGCTTCCAAGAGGTTATTTCCTTCTCCTAACCTGCTCCTCAAGCCCAAGGAAATAGCAGAGCAGAGGTCAGAAAAGAGACAACAGAGGATCTGTTGAGGGTCTACAAACCCCAGGAGAAGGTTTGTAGGTCATGGTGCTCTGCCAAGTGTGAACAAACACCAGCTGTGCCGTGGTCAGGTGCCAGGGAAACCACCAAGAACCTGGACTGGGGAACTGGTGATGTGGGACCACAAGGCTTAAGATGAAGAACAAAAGCACCATCAGTAGAAAGTAGAAACAGTGGCCCAACTGCTCCTCCAGCACTTGGGAGTTCTGATACAGACACCAAAAAACCTCCAAGAGGCACCACAGAGCTGGTTAAATATTAATTTTGGGAACACCCTTCCTGGGCAGAGATTCTAAGTCACTGAAGGAGGAGTGGATCTGTTTGGCTCCTGCTGACTCAGTTCTGGACCAGTGACCTACAAGGTGTATTTAACCCCAGTAATCAGGAGCTCATCAACCTGCCACATGGACTCAACTTGCTGGAGAGACCAAAGGCTGGGACAAGACACGTTCAGATGTCAAAGACAAGGGAGATTTTCAGGCAGGAGGATAATTAACCCCTCACTCCTGTAATTACAGCAGCTCCAAACCTGCTGGGTCATGAGAAGCGGGAAGGAAAGATCAGGGCAGTGCAAGGATTGGTCACAGGAATCAGGGAGATAAAACAGCTGCTGGGATTTGAGAGGTGGAGAGTGAGCTCACAGGAGACCCAGAACTGAGACAACCCGAAGCTCTCCTGCCTCAGCTTCCAGCTGCATCCATGATATTCCAACAGTGGCAGAGAACAGGCTGGGAATGAGCCTTTGCTGAACTCACAGCACAGGAAACCTTTCCAAATTCAGCTTTATAGAGGCAAAGCAAAGCACAGCACACTTGTTTTCTTGCTCCAGTCTCCTCTTCCTCTGGCACTTCCGGGAAATAAGTTGGATAAGTAAGCCACACTACCCCCTAAAATATAATGTACAAGAGTCCAAAAGGCTGTTCAGGGGGAAAAATGATTCCCATCCAAATCACATCCCCCTTCCCAGCCTGTAGCTCAGCACAATTATGCCCAAATCACACAGGCATTAATGAACTACCACACAAAGGCCATTTCCACTACGAGGCAATTACTTTTTTCTCTTTTTTTTAATTCAAAGAAAAAAAAATGGTATTTTAATAAATACTGCAGAAACATTAACCAAACATACAAAGTGACTTCAACAACTTAAAAAACAAAAAAAAAGTAATGAATGTCCTGCTTTATGACAGTTATAACTTATTTTTTCCACAATATTTAAATACAGAAAGAAGCACTTACCAGCTATTTTGTAATACTGCCCTAAGAGCACTGTTGCATCAGTTAAAAGCTTATTATGGTGGCAAAAAAAATGTCTTTTTGTGGGAAATAACCAGAATGGGAGTGGTTGTTTGGTGTTTTTTTGTTTGTTTTTTCTTCTTTTCTCGGCTGAAACAAAGTGCCAGGAACACACACACGCACACACAGAGAACTGAGTTTTAATTTAAGAGTTAATCATGGCAAGCCTTCACCTTCGCACAAGTGAACGCAGCTTTTAACACTTCAAAAACGAAGCATCACCCTTGGGGAACGAAATGCTTGTCCTCCACAAGCAGCAACCACGCTGGGCAGAGCTCAAGAGTCTCCTTTCTTTTGAGAGAGAAGTTTAGTGGGTCAGGGAGTTGCAAACACTCGACTTTAAAGGCTGATTTATTGGGTGGAACAACAGCAAGCAAAACAAAACAAAACAAAAAAAAAAAAAAAGGAATTTGCCTGAACCGGTTCCCCCGTGTTCCCTGACTGCTGTCTGGATATTTGTGGGTTCATCTGAAAGATTAAGGGCAGTTTCCAGTTGCCACCGGGGACCCCTTAAGGCCTCACAGTTGTTCAGATCATTTCCTCCCCCATCTGCAGCAGGAGGTGGCTGCCCTGCCCCCAGCCCCCAAAAATGAAGAGCATCACAAAAGATGCCCTGGCTCTGCTGGCTCATTTGCAGATTGTTTTGGGGAGTGGAGGGGGAGTTTCCTTTTGCAACCAGGTCACAGAACAGCCCCTCTCTGCAGGGTTTATCCCGGGATTCCCCCCTCTCCTGGAGCACAGGAGGCTGGGGGCTTCCCCCCAGGTGGGCAGTAAGGCTTTAGGGAATTCTCATGGTCGGAAAAAACCGAGGATCATCTGTCAATCACAGCTCTTAGCACCTTGCACTGGGACCTACAGCCACACACAACACCACGACTGGAGGCCACTCCACGCCACAACCACAGAGAGGAACAGCGAGTCCAGAGTCCTGGCAAGGGGGCAGGAGCTGTGCCCTTCCCCCCCACACACCCCAAAATTCCATCCATTTCCACCTGTAAGGCTGGGAATCCTCAAAACAGGGTGTCTTCATCCCCAGAGTGGATCACACAGAACTCCAGACTCTTTCCCAAGCAGTGTTTTCCTCCAGGTGACACGCAAGCCTCGGAATCCTCTCCCCATTTTCACAACGAGCTACTAAAAAAATCAGATCATATCCTTTGGAAAACCAACTAGAAGGTCACAGGGGTAAAGTTCCTTAATGAGGAGGGCACGTTAATAACGTCTTCATTAAAAAAAAATTTAAAAAACCCCCATTAAAGTATTATTTTAATGAAATCAAAGTGGTAGCATCCAGGAGCAGAGCGTTAATAAAAGGAACGAGCGCTGTCCACGACACCTCTCTCCTTTGCAGGGTCATTTTCCCACTCACTCTTCTCTCAGCACATTCAAACGTTTTGCTTCCCTTTATTTTTTTTTTTTTTTGGCATTTTCTTCAACGTGTCATTTCCTGGTGCCACCTCAAGAGCCTTTTCCTCTAAGCACAGTCTCACCCACCAGGCCGAGTCTCCATTAAAGCCCTGGCAGAACAGAAGCCCCTCATTTAAACACCACGTGGCTTTTGTTACTTCATCGAGCCTCCAACCCCTCCTGGACGCTCCTCCTCCTCCTCCTTCCAGGGGAAAAAAAAAAAAATCCAAGAGGTCCTTCACATCACAGTGCAACTCTTTGCTTTGTCCTTCCTCAAGTCCGTGGCCACTGTGGACAGTTCTGGCCTGCCGGGCATGTGTGAGATTCGCTTTGTGGCCCTCTGCGATTTGTTCCTCTTGACGTTTTTGTTGGTTTTGTTCACGCACGCCAAGGTGGCCACGTGGAAAATGTCCCTGACGCTGTTTTCCGACTGCAAGGCTGAGCATTCGATGTAGGTGGCGGCTCCAATCTGCTTGGCCATGTTTGCACCCTGAGGGGGAAACAGCAACACAAAGAACATGTGAGCAATACTGAGGTTCTGAGGGAGCCAAAGCGAAGCTCTCCCAATTCCTTTGCAGAGTTGTTTGTTGGTTTGTTTGTTTTTTTGGTGAAAGCCAAACCTCCAGCAGCTCATTTTGCAAAATAAACAGAGTTATGAGTTGAAGGAGTTTCCAACCATTTAGACAGAAATTGGAAGAGGAGATAAACTGAGAGAGGCTTGCAAACAAGTGCAAAAAAGCCTGAAGAGTCTTAGTGGGGCCTATTTACCAATTTCCCCTTAATTTGCCTATTTAGCACTTTCACCTTAACAGGTGATCAATACTCAGATTCTGAGGGAGCCAAAGCAAAGCTCACAATTCCTTTCCAGTGCTGGGTTTTTTTTGTGAGAAAAGCTAAAGCTCCAGCAGCTGATTTTGCCAAATAAACAGAGTTTTGCCTCCCAGGATGAGTTGAACAAGTATCCAACCATTTAGACAGAAACTGGAAGAGGAGATAAACTCAGTGACTTTCAAACAAGTGCAAAAAGCCTGAAGAGTCTTAGTGGGGCCTATTTAGCAGTTTCCCCTCAACTTGAATCCATGAATCTCATGCTCCTGGGAAAGGTCTGGAGCTGGCAGCTCCCAGATTTAAGCCTATCTCCAAGGAAAAAAATTGGGATTCTGGGCCTTAAGGAACAACCCCTGATCTGGAGCAGAGCTCCTGCTACAGCTCCATGAGGAGGGCAAAGCTCACAGGGAAATGTGCTGTGGGTTTGGGGATAGTTCCAGCTAGGAAACAGGGAAGAGAAGGAGAAAGGACATTAGGGGTTAGAGGAACCCTTCTTTTTTGAGTTTAAGGGCACTAAAAGTCAAAGCAGGGCTGTTTGTTCCAGCAGCACAAGGAAAACAACACGTGACACCCACAGATGACAATGACCCAGTATCCTGTTGTGGATTTTGCTCCTGGGACCACAATACAGCATTATGTGGAAAAAAAACAGAGTTGTCTCAGTGGAATTTTATTTCTGGGGGATGAATCTTTGGTGAAGTTATGAAATCCAGCCACATCCTTGACGTGCCACTCCTCACATACTCATGGGCACAAGCCCGGTCCAACCCCTCCCTCTCTGCTCTTTGCCAGGCTGATGGCACCGATCTCATCAGATCCAGCTGTCAATCCTCCCTATTTGCCCTGCAGTGATGCAGCCACTCTATCAGTCTGAAGTGGGAGTGGTTGATAAAGGAGTATTGGCTTGTAGGACGAGCCCTCCCCACAGTTAAACACCTCAACTCCACCAACCCTGTCCCTGGAGCCTCGGCGATGTTTGCTCAGGTGTAGCTCAGGGCAACTGGGCAACCCACTGGAGGAGGGTGTCACCACCATGCCTTTGTCCTCCCCAGGACTGGGAAAGCCCCACTCAGCTCTCTGATCTGGACTTAGCCAGCAGAGGGAATTTAGGATTAAGCCGTGTCTCGACCCCCGAGGACCCAGCGCAGGAGCGTTGGGTCTTTTCACACCACCAGGAATTTGGCAGCCACAAAAACACACCAAGCACTGCTCAGCCCAGGCTTCTGCTTACAAAGAGTGCAGAGGAAATTATGGGCTTCCCTGGAACAGGTACAATTTTCCCTCTGGATGCCAAGGAACAGCTCCTGGCTCAGCCCTTGGTCTTCAGCTGACTCCTGTTCCTCAGGGGTACAAGGCTGAGCTGCGACTCCAGGTGTGAATCCAACTCCAGGGGAAAAATTCCACCTGCCAGCAGATTTTTGATGGCTCTCTTTGATCACTCAAGGGGTGAGACTGGGTGATTTTACTGAAGTGCTGCAATTTGTCAATTTAAACACGCTGCAGGAGCAGCATGAGCAATCCCATATTAGGAGCTGTTGGTTTGGGAAATTTCAGACTGTGAATAAAAGATCAAAACCTGGCTGCTAGCACATGATAAAGACTCTGAAGTGGCTTCTGGAGGTACCACTCTCCCTCCTACAGGGTGTATCTGTCACCATCAGTGTGATTCAGCTGCAGTGATCACACACATGTGAGTAATAAAGGCAAGTTTACCTCAGAGCCCAGTTTTCCCATTCCTGCTCTCCCATGACCTGATTCCTTTCCCTTTCACCTCAATTTCTTTATCCTCTAACGGCTCCAGACTTCTCACTCCCCCAGCACTTCAGAACTCCTCCAAGAATTAAAGTGCTTTTCTGGCCACCTTCAGAGGGGACTACGAGGTGCCTTCACAGGTATTTTAAGGTATCCAGATTTTAAAGGGGACAGATTAGATGCAAACACTCGTCATGATGACGAGTCAAATGATTGACACTCAAGCCTAAGGCAGCAATTTTCCCAATTTGTCAGCACATAAACCAGATGTGTCAGCTCTCCGTTCCTTTTTGGCCTCCGCAGGGACAGAGTTAAGTTTATTTACAATTCACTTAAAGATCTCTTTGCAACCAACAAGGCTACAATCCTGTGATGTTTAAAGCTGTGATTCCAAGATGTGTTGTGGGGCTGCAGGATTTCCTGCTGCACCCAATCTACGGGCAGGCTTCGCCTTTACTCGTCCCTCTCAAATTCACCTCCACCTCCTCCTAGAGCGCATCCTCCTTCTAGGATGTCAACAAGGCGGGGAGAAAGTGTTCATAGAGATTCATAAAGCCACAGAAAAGAGGTTTATCTTGCACCCTCGAGTCCAAGGAAGGACGTGGCACTCACCTGGTCGTAGGACACGGGGGTCTGCCGGTGGTTGGAGAGCTCCACCAGCGTGGTGACGTCCGTGCGCAGATCCGACTTGCAGCCCACCAGGAGCATCTTGGTGTTGGGGCAAAACTCCTGGATCTCCCCTTTCCACTGTAAAATGGAAGTTGTTGTTGTAAGCCAGGCAGTGGGGTGTTTAAATCCAAAGCAGCAGGAGATACAAGGTGAAGTTTAATAAGCCATGACATCCCCCACAGAAATATTCTTACATAATTGTTCCACCTCGGAGCTGATTTTCTGGAGGCATCAGCCCCAGCCAGGGATGAAATGTGAGTATCTCACACACTCAGTAATTCCACTGACTTACTAAGCAAGAGGAAATGAGATTATTTACCTACATGAGTAAAGGTTTGCAGGCCTGATGCTTCTCACACCCAGCCAGAGACAGCTGATAGCTGGTGTCACCACAGGGCTTGTACCACCACTAAATAAGCACTGCTAAATATTGGCTCCTGGCTACATCCTCACACCTGGAACTGCACAAGTCTGCCCAAGGTTCAACCTGGGAACCCTCAGAAAGCCCTTCAAACAGAACTTGTGAGATATCCCCTGTTTTTCTGCCTCTCTACAAAGTCATTTTGAGAACACGAGAGAGCCAAAAATTCAGCAGCACAATGTGAGCAGATAATCCCTAACAGGCTGAAAACACAAGAGAAGTCAAAAGTTTCGCAGCATAATCTGAGCAGATGATGATCCCTAAAATGTAAGGTTATAATTTGGGTTTAAAAGCACGCTAAGAAAAATGTACACGCTGAGGCAACAGTATAGTAACCAACATTATCAGAGACAATAAAAACACAGTTCTGGATGGTTGCTGGCACAGTTTGTGGCTGAGAGAATAGGTTTTGAGCATTTCCTGTAGGCTATTCAGAGCATTGTGTGCCACTTTATCCCAGTGAGACAAGAACCACTGGCCCCAGCTACAGAAAAAAAGAGGAACTTCAGGTCATTAAGCCTTAAAAGCAGTGCAAAGTTGAGTCATGCTCAGCAAGGGGAGCACCAGGACCACCTTCAACACAGAGCCTGATTATCAAAATGCAATGTTTTCCCTCATGGAAAGTCTGACTCTGAATCTTGGATCACTGAGGTTGTATTTCCATGCTACTTCTTGGTCTGCTGGTGGCTTCCAGAGGCGTTTGTCACGGGCTGAGGAATTATGTAAAGCCGTGGCAGGGGTCCAAACCCTCGGCTGGCACCGTAACCACCTTTACAACACGGCCAAGTTTCCCAACCCTGTCTCTCAGAGGAACACCTTGTGAGAGAGGCAATTCCTTGGCTGCACCTCACACCACCCTCCACCAACACCCTGCCGTCTAAGGGCTGAGGAATGAGAATTCCCTTCAGCCCTCGACATCCACTAGCGAGTTTTTGGTCTCCAGTTAATTCACCCCTTTTCAAACAAACTCCAGCCCTGCAAAGCGCCGCCACCTCTCCACCAAAAGGAACAGCAGCACTGATTGAAAGACAAGCTCCTCCAACAGCTTTTACGCTCAAATGTTTCCCCAAAACTTGCCTTTTTTAGGACACTGTCAAGAGTTTCTGGCCTGCTGATGTCAAAGCAGATCAGGACGGCGTCGGAATCCGGGTAGGAGAGGGGACGGACGTTGTCATAATAGGGGGACCCTGCAGGGGAACAAACAAACATTTTTATTAGTTTATCTTCTCTTTTCTGCACCTATTCAAGCTTATTCAGAAAGTTTCGAGAGGTTTTGGGTTAAACTCTGTAATAACACCCAGCTATTTTTGTTCTTCAGTAGAATTGTACTCCCAGAACGCTCCTCACGGCTCATTTTCCCCACTTTCCTATTGTTCCTCACCTCCAAAAGCAGCAGCTTTCCCCAGTAATTAAGAGTGATGGCACCCCAGTGATCCATCTCCCACCAAAAGCCTCCCAACAACAAGGAGAGGGAAAACAGGGTCAGCCCAAGTTTAAGTCCCAGCATTAACCTGCAGGGATTTGACTCGGGAGAACAAATCCTCCAACTCCAAAAAGGCTTTTTTCAAAGCACATTTGCCACACTTGTGCTTTCATGGGGGGAAAAAAAAAAAAAAAACCACAAAAAAACCAACCCAAAACCCACATAAAGCTTTGAAATTCAGCAGTTTTGATTTGCCTAACAGTTAATTTAAAACAAACAGCTCCAAGGGCAGAAAAGCATCGTTAGTTGTCATGGATATTGGGAATTTTTAGACGAAATTCTTGCTTCCAATTAGAGCATTTATTGCAGGAGTCCAGCAGGAAGGGATCCCAGCCCTGTAGGCAGGCAAGTTATCTGTCACAAAAAGCCTCATTAATCTGTAAACCAATAAAAGCTTGCAATAAATGTTTATGTTTAGCCCATAAACCAGATTTTTATCAAGGAGATCAAAGCTAATTTAGTGATCTGGGGGAACAGATGTAGGCACAATATTGCACTTTGGGCATGTTTTACTTGCAGAGCTGTGAGGGGTTTGCTTTAAGAATGATCAGGATGTGCAGAGTTACAAATACATCAGAAACGTCATTTTAATCAGCTGGTGAGTCTGGCAACAGGTTTGGGGAAATAAAATCTTCCTTTTTTTTCTTTTTCCTAAGAAAAAGGAAGCCACCATTTGGTTTGGCCTTAAGTCTGCTGTGCTTCACTACCTGAGGAGAACATATTTCTGATTTAAAAGGGTGCTTAAACCAGTCAGGTGGCTCAACAGGGCAAGAGCTTGGGCTTTAAAATGCGTGCCTGGAACTTAAAGCTCATAACACACCCTTATTTCTGTATTTTTTTTTTTCCCCCCCTCAACACAGCACAGAGCACACTCAACAAAAACACAGCTTCTGGGGGGTTATCAGCTAATTATGCCCCCGGTTTCCCAGCTCTCTGGGACTAATTGGCTGGAAGGCCTGAGAGGCTGAGGGATTAGGGAAATTCCTCGAGTTTTTAAGTGACAGGCAGCTCTGGCTGTTGCACAAGGCAGAGCAGGGGATGGTGTGAACGGGTCTGACTTCAGCTGGGCAGCTTCCACTGCCCGGAAAGGAGTCAAGAATCCCAGGAATGTTGTTTTCGAAGCGAAGGGTAACACATGGGGAATGAAGCCTTACCAAACTAGGTAGCAGAAGGTAATTTGTGGCACGAGGCTGCTTCATTCAAATGCTCATCCTCCTAAATGATGTCAAGCTGACAAAGAGGCAGCTGCCAAAGGCTGCTCTTCACCACACCACAGTTAACTGAATTCAGCACTCAATGACATGTTGGGGACAACTCTGAGCCAGGTGACCCGTGGTAAACTCCTCCAGCTCCCAGGGACCATCAATAAGCATTTTCCCTCCTAATTACTCCCCAGCTATCTATTAAACAGCTCCATCCTGCAGCCCTCAGGGCCAAGTTCCTTCTCCTGGAGCCCCAGGGCCGAGGGATGTGCCCAGGGACAGAGGAACTGCAGAACAACCTGGCCCATCTCCCCAGCGTGTAAGGGCAGGAGGGAAGGGCTTTGAAATGCCAAGTGGTTTGCTGGCTAGAAAAGGAGGCTCCAAAAAAAAAAAAAAGCCTCACCCAGAAACTTAATTCCTCAGACACATACCTATCTCCTCACTCAGCAGGGCTGCAGGGATACAGCACACCATATATGTCCACCAGCACGTATTTATGTGTACACAGAGTCACCACCTGCAGCCCTCAGACTCCTTCCCACCCCATCAGCTGCAGCTTTGGAGGGTTTTGCTCCTCAGCTTTGTCCCTCTGGAGCTCTCTCCCATTAAAGGTGCTGAGCTGGGATAAATGCATTTTTCGAGGAGGAATATTCAGCACCTCCTCTCCGGGGTGGCACAACAAACAGGAACCCTTTCAACTACTCGGGGCTGCGGGACCCACAAAGCGAATTTCCTGCTCTCATTCAGCAGCAAGAACCGAGCCTTTCTTGCTGTGCAAATAAAGAGGGGTTGCAGCTCTGGCTGTGCAGGCCCTATTCAGGCTGGCATTTCATCCCCCAGCCCGGAGAAAGCCTCAGAAGGCAGGAATGCCAGGAATGAGGCTCGCTCAAGTCCGAGCAGACAACTCCAGCTCGCTCTTTTTTCATGTTAGTTTGCAGAGCTGAAGCCGTGCCAACCCTCGAAAACAGGAGGAGAATGTAGGGCTGGAGCAGTGGTATTTGTGGAAATAAATAAATAAATAAATAAATAAATAAATAAATAAATAAATAAATCGGGCTATTTGTTTTTTGGGATCCCGCTCCTACAAAATAAAACATTTTTGGTGAGGACAACACGGGTGATTTTTCACTTTTAGCAAGGAATTGCTGATAAGGCTGTAAAAGTTCATCTTCCTCTGGGCTGGGAGTCTGTTCCAGCTGCAACCCTCCTCCTTTAATTTGTAAATAATTCAAGCCAAAATACTTGAAACATTCAGAATGATCTACTTCTGAACCCTTACACAAAGTCCAACACAAATTCAGCTTTTAAACAGAAACCAAACCCCTCCCCAGCAATGCTGGTGTAGAGTAGATACCAAGCTTAGGCTTAAATTAACAAATGACAGAATTATACCATTACTAGTTAGAAAACACTTAATTTTTTGGTGGTTTAGCACTGCTCTAAGATGCTAAAAGCAGGGAGAGCTGCTTGTCTGGAGGATCCAAAGCCACCAGCGGCTCCAAGCAGCAGGTTCAGCCCCACATCCCACCACTTGCCCGTGGGCCTTGAGGGAAGGGATGCTCAGTAAAACAGGCAAGACTTTGCTATTTCCACTCCACCAGCAGGCTTCAAGTCTTTGTAGCCTTTTGGAGTCCAGTCAACTGAAAGAACAACAGATGAGCAGCAGCGTTTTCACTCCCAAACCCTTGGGCTCACTAATTACCAGCTGCAGAGAAAACACATCAAACACACACACAGTGGCTGCTCCCAGGAGCTGATTCACTGCTGCTGGTTTTCCTCCTTCCAAAACCTGGGCTGGTCTGGAGTTCAGGTGATTTTCCTGTGCTATCACAGAAGGTGTGATCTCCAAGCACAGGAGGGCCTCAAAATCCAGGGCATCTTCAGTGTTCTCATCAAAGAAAACAGGGTTTTGGAGGTGATTTGATTTTAATTCCAATTAAAATCAAAAGTACATAAATAAGATAAACTAGTTGCTGTTACTCTGCCATTAAAATAAGGAAATCACATGGTTCAAGTTCCAAGTGGAACTGGAAGGCAAAGACAGAAATTGGGCATTCCCCTTACAGTGGTTGCTGCCAGGGAACTTGGGGAATTAGGAACTTTAATTCCTCTAAGTTTCAGTCTCGAGAAGGAGAGACAGCACAAACTTCATAATTCATATTCTGCTCCTCTGTGGACACTGAGTACATTGTATACATCCAAATCCCAGCAAAGCCAACTTGACTTAAAGCTCCAAGGTCCTTCTGGATTTAATTACCTGCTAATCCCCAGCAATGCCCAAGTATTTCTGGCCCTGTCTAGAATTATTTTAGTGGAGTATCCAGTGCACTTTCCACGGTTCCAGCAATAAAAAAAAGCCCTAAAATACATTTTAGGGAGACCTGGGTATGTACACCTAATTAATGGATGTGATTCCTCATGCCACAGCTGCTGCTGTCCAAGCAAGAAATATAAATATCACTTTTACTGGAAAAAAAACCCAAAAAAACTTGGTAATTAGATTAGCCCATGACAGATAAAGAGACATAACTCCTATACAAGTGTTCCACTGATGTGGAGGTACAAAATGAAGCTTGAACCTTAGGAGAAATCCTACTCTTGTACCTCCCCAAACAAGCCCACAGCTCCCAAACAGCTCCAAACGACCACATGTTACCACAGAGTGGAATAATTTATGGTGCAGGGAGATTGCAACCAGACATTCCTGCTTTGAGAGGAGGCTTGGTAGTCCAAAACCCAATTGAAATTCAAGTTGGCAAGTGTTTCCCTTAACGCTGTGGCTAATTTAAATCCTCCTAATGACTTGCAGGACGAGACAGTACCAGAAAACATTTCAATAACGAATCTCCCCCTTCCACTCTTACTTGTAAGTGTGTGTTGTATCTTGGATATGCCCATAGGAACAGGAGACAACAGCAGCTTCCCAACAAATTTACAGTCAGCTCCAAAGTTTCCCATCAACTGCATGACTCCTAATTTTGTACCTAAGGGTCCTCTAGTAAAAACCACGTTATTATTATTATTATTATTCAATAAAGATTTATAAACCAAAACTGCGACAGCAGGGCCTGTTCTCACCCCGACACAAGACTGTTTTAAGCCACAGCTTTTCTCATTTTCCCAGTGAGCCAAAAAAAAAAAAAAAAATAAAATGCTGGAAGTCGAGTATATCCTTCCAAAGGATTCACAAGAGATCCTGAAGCACCTCACCCCGGGTCCAGCCATCCCCTCCCCCGGGGTTGCAATGGCCATGATCTTCCATTAGCACCTGGCAGTCAATCAGCCGTATTTTTAAGTTAATTAGACCTAGCCCTGCTTCAAAAAAATGTCGTTCAGGCACATACTCTAATTCAGCAGAGGGCCAGGACAAAGACTTGTAAAAATTAAATTACCAAGACTCGAAGATAATGCTAAAGCACTATCTTATCTCCTGCTGGCTCTTATCTGCTGATGTGATTTTGCACTGGGTTAATGGGGAGTGCTGCTTCTTGCAGATGGAGAGAGGGGATGTTTATGGGGACCAAATTCCTCATCCTGAGTCCCACAAGCTGAGGATTCACTCAGCAACACTTTGTAAGACCAAGTATTGGCTTCTTGGAATATTTCCTCTTCCTTTTTTGGATGGCAGACAAATTACCCACTTGATCCCGAGCTTCTGACTCAACCAAATTTTCTGTTAGTTCAGGGCAGTCCAAAAAGGACAACAGGCTGCCAAGGTGTTCCTTCCACTGCTCCTGCCTTTTGAAGTGCTATGGAATATTTCATTTACATGGGTGTCTCCAGCCTTTGACATCCAGGTCCCAAACCCTGCCGTGTCCAAACAGCTTCACCTGCGTATTTTAATAAGCTAAAGATAAAATTTTCCAAAATAACCATTAATTTTTAATAAGCCCTTATTCCACGGTTAAAGCCAGCTTAGTAATGAGGATGAAAGCTCCAACCAGACACACTCTGGAAGTCTGCAAGTCTCACTTGGCATAAGATGAAGGAGGGAAAAAAAAAAAATCAGTTCAGAGCTACGCTGATACCGGCTGTGGGCTGAGACTGCCTTTTCCCAGTAATCGTGTTGCAAGAATTTGGAATCATTTCCTCAAGAGCACGAGGAAAGCCAACCCGCCTCCTGAACTCCTTTTTTTAAAGAAGGGATTAACATTTTCCTTTCTGGTAAGAGAACTGCTGTCATATTTAGCAGAAATTGCTGGCTCCAAATTCAGCATTAACGAGCCATCGCCACGGGCTGCCTGAGGAAGAAAAGGGGTTGTGTGTTCTGGCAGGTTCCTCCGGGTCTTTTTTTCCCCCATCAGTTCTGCAGATAAGGATGATCCCCACAGCTCTGTTAAAGGTTCACGGTGTGACTCACCCCTGGACACCTCGGAGTGCTCAGTTATCCAGAGCACAGACACCCTGGCTGCCCACGCAGCAAGTTTTGGGGTGCATCCTCACCCCCCTGCCTCTAAGGTCGGTCCTATTATCCCACTTATCAAGATCTGGAAGAGTTCCCGTCTTAACGTGTCTCAACACGTCTTAACGTGTCAACTGAGACAGCCAAGCACCAAAAACCTCAACCTTTGAGGCAGTTTTTGGCATGGTCACTGAAGGTGCAATTAGAAAAAAGGACCTTCAGCATTTATTTCGTGATATAGAAAAGGATGGTTCTCCCTGCATCCTAGAGGAACAAAGATAACAGAGGAACAGGGATAAAGGGTAAAAGCTTTCCCTTAAAAAAAAAAAAAGCCTTTCCTGCTCTTAAAGACTCTCTAAAACATCGTGGGAAAAGAATAGTCCCGTATTTTGTAAAACACCAAGCAGGCATTAAGGAGGCCACCGGGAGCTCCGAGGCGAGCCGCTGTCGTTTCCCATCAGCAGAAAAACACCTTTCCTTTCTCCTGCGAGGGTTTCCAGGCAGCAGCGGGGCGAAGGTGCCGCCGGAGCTCCCGGCTCGGCTCCCCGCAGGCAGGTGAGGACACAAACCCCGCAATGCTGACGAATCGCTCCGAGGAGGCTCGTCCGCACCCTCAGCCAAGGAGATATCCCTAAAGTACATCCCAGATTTTTTTTTTAATATGTGTACAAAAGCACCCAGGAGCGGCTGGATGCGGAGAGGGCTCGGGGCTGCGGGAGCTGCGGATCCCCCACCCCACATTCCCGGGATGCGAAGGGAGCGCTCACCCGAGGTGTCCCAGAGGCTGAGCTCGATGCGCTGCGTGTCGATCTCGAAGCTCGCCGTGTAGTTCTCGAACACGGTGGGGACGTAGCTCTGCCGGGAGACAGCGCAGAGTCAGCCCGCCAGCACGGAGAGACCCCAATCCCGACCCCAATCCCGGCTCCCACCCCGACCGCAGCCCCGTTCCCGTCCTTCTCACCTCGGGGAAGCAGTCCTTGGCGAAGACGTGGAGCAGCGCGGTCTTCCCGCACTGGCTGTCCCCCACCACCACGATCTTGCACTTCACGTTCTGGTTGGGATCCATCACCGCCTTGCTCGATAACTTCTGGCTCGCTCTTCTTTCCTTCATTGATCTCCGCTTAGTCCCTCCGGCCGGCCACGACAGAAGAGTGGAGGAGGAAAAAAAGGAAAAAAAAAAAAAAGGAAAAAACCCCCACACAACGCGGTTTCCTCGCAAAAAAAAAAAAAAAAAAGAAAAAAAAAAAGTAAAAATAACTAAAAAGCCCCGAGGTGGAGGTGGCAGAGCCGCGGCAGCCGCCGCCGCTCCCGCGCTCAACTGCTTTGTCCCCCCGCCGCACGCCCCTATTTATAGCCTCGCGCCCGCCAATCACCGCCCGCCGCCCGCGCGGGCCACGCCCCCCACCACGGCCGCGCGCCGCCGGAGCACAGCGCCCCCTGGGGGAGCGGCCCCTCGCTGAGGGGAGCGCGCGCTGAGGGCGGCGCGGGGACACGGGCAGCGGCAGGAGAATAAACGGGGCTTTTGTGGTGGTTTTTTTTTATTGGTTTTGTAAAAAAATTGTGCGCGGGCCGTCCTGAAGTGGCCGGTGGTATGAGAGGGAAACCTGCGGGATGTGTGGGGCTGTGGGGCCCTCCGGAGGGGCGGAGAGGTGGTCCGGGGTCCCTCAGGGTGGTCCAGTGCCTCAGGCTGGGATGAGGAGGGGCGAGAGGAGAAGAGACATGAGGAGACACGAGGAGAGACGAAGAGAACTGAGGAGGAATGAGGAGAACTGAGGAAGGATGAGGAGAACTGAGGAAGGATGAGGAGAACTGAGGAAGGATGAGGAGAACTGAGGAAGGATGAGGAGAACTGAGGAAGGATGAGGAGAACTGAGGAGGGGTGAAGGATGAGACGTGTGGAGAACCAAGGAGAGATGAGAATAACTGAGGAGGGTTGAGGAGAGTTGAGGAGGGCTGAAAAAGGCTGAGGAGAGATGAGAAGGGATGAAAAAGCTGAGGAGGGCTGAGAAGAGCTGAGGAGGGCTGAAGGATGCTGAGAAGGGCTGATCAGAGCCCCTGGGCTGAGGAGAGCCCCCCACCTTCAGCCTGGACTGCCCTACAGGGCTGGTGCTCGTGACAAAGGGGCAAAGGGGCTTTTCCCCCAAAATGTGGTCACAAGGGGCATGTCGGGATCTCACAAAAGCACAGAATCCTGGAATATCCTGAGCTGGAAGGCACCCACAAGGACCATCCCGTCCAACCCCTGGCCCTGCACAGACACCCCAGCAATCCCACCCTGTGCCCCAGAGGATCATCCCAACCCTCCTGGAGCTCTGGCAGCCTTGGGGCTGTGCCCACTGCCCTGGGGAGCCTGGGCAGTGCCAACCACCCTCTGGGGGAAGAACCTTTCGCTGAGATCCAACCTGAGCCTGCCCTGGCACAGCTCCAGCCGTCCCCTCAGGTCGCCAGAGAGCAGGGATGGGTGCTGCCCACCACAAACTTCCTATTTTTCAGCTTCCTGGACACAACCCCAAGCCAGACTGGCTGAGGGCTGACATCATCCCTGAAGGGAGAGCCCCGAACAAGGGCTGGTTTGTGAGCAGCTCACAGCATTCCTCTCCTTCGAGTGCTCCTCTCCTCTCCCATACGGCTCTGCATGGCACACAGATGCCCTTGGGAAGGGCTGCCAGCAGCGGGAGAGCTGGAGCAGAGCATTAATCCTGCCTGCCCTCCTTGCTTAGACCCGGCTTTGCTCAGCCCAGGCTTTGCACTGGGCGAGTGTCCTTCCCGAAGGTGGGGTCTTGGCCTTATCTCTTGAGTCACCCAGGTCATGAACTATCTCTGTGTCAATTCTGGGCCGAAACGTGAGCAATTCATCAAGTTTTACAACAACATCCTGATTTTTTCAGTGCTACCGTCCCGTGCGTGTTTGACCATAGGGAGATGCTGCTCTGACTCACGCAGGAGAATCCCAAACACGACATTTCTGAAGGTCGGTGCTGATATTTTTTGAGTTTGTTGTGATGTCTTTATCTGGTCAAATTACTTATCTCTAATGAATTTTCCAAAGGATTTGGTTTCTGTTTGGAAATCACAAGCAAAACACAGAAATTTGCAGCGTGTGCCTTATTTGTAAAGCCTTGGAGCAGACAGCTTTCCATTTATTTTTTTTTAAATTTAAAGCTAGTCTCAGCTCTTTTGCAGCCTCCATCCAACCCCGCTGTCCACCAGGTTTCTGGATATACGGTGGAATGGGAGGAATAAGCAAAGAAACTTAATGTTCACAGCAAGCTGGGTTTCACCCTGCTGTTCAACTGTGAATATTTGAACAGGAGATAAATCTGGAAAAATACAGTTGTGCAAATGCTGTCAGGTCTTCTCCAAAGGGCAGAAAACCTTGTTTTTTCTGCACTGAAACACGTGGCAGCCTCGTGGGCAGGGGCAGGCGGGATAGAGCTCTGGGGGTCCTGCTCTGCCCCTCTGAGTCCAACTTGCCATCTGAGGGGGATCTGTGGAATACAAGGAGGGGAGAAGATGAGGCTGAAAGAGCTCATTCCTTGGTGGTTTGGCTTGGCCAAACCTTGGAGGAGCAATCGGTGCCCCGGGGCTGGGGGAAGCATCTCCCTCACCCAGCTCACGTGTGGAAAATCCACCCTCACCCAGCTATGTGAGGAATGTGGAAACTTTAACGCCCAAGAAACACTTACTCATCACCCAGCAGAGAGCTTCCATCACCACTCTTCCCAGTGAGATCATGTTTACAGGATTTGTTTGTTTCCAGCGTCACCCAGCCGAGCCCCAGGGATTTCGGGATGCCCTGCAGTGCCCTGGGCACTGGTAACAATCAATAAACCAATTCCTGCCTGCTCAGGAACCTCCAGCCTGTTGTCATTCCTCAGGGAAGCTGCTCCAGGGATGTTAATAATCCCCATAAAACTATTATTCCTGTCATCCCCTCCAGTTTAATGCCTTTTCCCATATCTTGATAACAAGGGGGATAACGCGGTGGGGGTTGGGGTTTCCATCAGTATTGTTCTCACGCAGTCTGGATTTGGATTTATAAGGCAGAGGCTCGTGCTTTGCTCCCTTCAAATTCCCCGTTTTACTCCAGATCTCACTCTGGACTTTCGCAGTTTCTCCTCTTTCCATCCATCCCAGAAAGCATTATGTGTGTATTAATAACATGCACACAATCCAGTTCTGGCGTGGTAATGACTCCCAGTCTGATATGAGATTTCATGGGAATATCAGAATACATTTCGCTGCTCTCACGAGCAATCTGCCTGAACGCTTCCTACGGCTGCAATAAACCCGCTGAGAACAAGTGCTTTGAGTTTCACTCTAAGTGCTCCACGATCTCAACCTAAAACTGCCCTCCAAATCCCTCTCCCTTTCCATGGAAAGCATGGAACAATACACACAAACCGCGGACCTTCCACATCCCACTCCTCCTCCTCCTCCTTTCTGTGCGCAGCCAGAGGGGAGGTGCATTAAAAGAACATTACCGAGGCTCAAGGTCGAGCATTTGTGGATTAGGAAATGCGTGCTTCCTGTGTGTCGGAAGCGTGGGCTCCCCCGGGAGTACGTGGGGATAGTCATGAATTTCAGGATCACGGGTTATTTTCCCCCCCCCCCTGGCTCCCATTCAGCCCACGGAGTTGTAATTGTCACCTTAACGAGCGGTTCTTCAGAAACATCTGCACCTCTGCCGGGCCGCCCTGTAATCCCTGCCTCGTTTAGGGCCGCTATTCCCAGCCTTCCTCCGAACATGGACCCGTTTGTTACCTCTTCTGCGGGGCTTATCAATGTCATATTCGAGTTCTTAGCAGATGAAAAGAGATTATTTCTCGCTCTGCCTTGTGAGTGGCACGATCTGAGCCGGCCTGTTTGACAGGGAGAAGAGCTGAGGTCACAAAGTCCTCGCTAATTCTGCTCCATTCCCAACCCTCAACCTCACGCAGATGTTGGGAACGGAGCTCCTGCTACTTTCCTGTGCAGCCAGGAGGGGTTAGGCTTCAAATCCGAGGCCTCATTGCCCTTGTAGGGAATTCTGTAGGGAATTCTGACTCAGACCCTGCCAAAACCAAACCCCAATTTCCTTCTGCTCCAGCGAGGGCTTTAAAACGGATGATGGCAGGGTGAGAACGAGCATCTCCCGTTTCGCGATGCCGGTGTAATAATATGCGGGAACATCGGCATGAAAATCAATGCTAATTAGCTGTGAACTGAAAACAAAATGAAGCTTGACACTCTTATAATCCGTATTTTGGCATTTAGAAATCTGTCTGTAGCTACAGCGCCGAGGAAGAGTTGAATAAATTCATAACATTAGCTGGAGACAAGTGACTCTCCCTCACCTGACTGACAGGTCGTTGGGTGCTCCAGCTTGGATGGGAGACAAAGCTCAGCTATTCCAAGTTTCAAGAGCTGAGGGCAAAGCTTTGACAAAATTATAAACACTGCAAAACGCTTTTAAAAGCCCTCAATGATTAAGGCAGGATATTAAGGCAGAGGACAAGGTATTTTAACATGCTGATTGTAGGGTAATTACTCACATACAAGCAGGAATCCCACCTCTCGTGGCAGCCCCGTGCACTGCTGGCAGTGCCAGCAGCTCCTGGGATGTATCCAAAGGGTCCATTCCAAGACATTTATCCACATGGCATCAGCAGAATGGCAGGTGTGATGTTCTCTCCCCTTTACAGAGGGGGAATAGAGGGGATAAATGACTTTTCCAGGAGCACATGTGGAGGGCACAGTGAAGTGAGGTGATCAGCCTTTCCCCGTGTTTGCTCTCTTCCCATCACACCACCCAGCTAAGGAGGCTCTGCAAAAGCCAGGAAAATTATGTGGATTATTCACACATATATCTGGATTCTGCCTCTGGTGTTTTAGGAGCCAGAGAAATGTTACCTGGGGCCACTTCTTTAAATCACAGAATCCCAGAATGGTTTGGGTTGGAAGGAACCTTAAAGACCAGCCATGGGCAGGGACACCTTCCCAGTGCTCCAAGCCCTATCCAACCTGGCCTTGGACACTTCCAGGGATGGGGCAAGGGGATTCTTGCAAGGGCTCAGGTTCAGGCACACCCACCGTGCCTTAGGGCTGCTTGACCTTCCCATCCCACCAGCTGGGGAACTGCCTGAGATCAAAACTCCCCTGAAGCAGA